CGGCGTTTCCGATGATGTTAGCTAAATGAAACCATGCTCCATTGGAAGAACGGAAAACTTCCTTTTGCGTTCTTTCCACTTATTGAGAACTCGAATCAAACTTTCCATCTTTTCTGGAACACCGGGTTTTATGAAAAATTTGAAAACTGAAAAAAAAATTTTTTGGTACGCAATGTAATTGNTAATTGAAAAAAAAATGGTGAAAAAATTTTCTAGGTTGTTTGAATGTTGAGAAAATCAGATGAGAAGCCTCAACAAAATTCAAATTTCGAAGGTACAAAATCGTATAAATATAGTTTGAAAAATCATCCGCACACGTTTCCGTCTCAATTGTTGGGACTTATGTTTCTCGAATTTCGTTCCTGGCAATAACGTTATTTGAATTTCGTTACCTATTTCGTTACCAGCAATAACGTTATTTGAATTTCGTTACCTATTTCAGTACCGGCGATAACGTTATTCAAATTTCGTTACCTATTTCGTTCCCGACAATAACGTTACTTGAATTTTGTTACCTATTTCGTTACCGGCGGTAACGTTACTGGAATTTCGATACCTATTTCGTTCCCGGCAATAACGTTATTAGAATTTCGTTACCGATTTCGTTCCGGTTCTTATTTCGTTCCCGGGAACGAAACACCAGAAACGCACTTTTGTTTCGGTACTGGATTTCGTTACCAGTCCCTTTCAAGAACCCAGCTGAGGGCTATTGCGTTGAGCGCAGCAGGAGGTTTGAATAAGTTGCGCATGGCGCCAATCACGTGACTCATGGCACTGGCGCAGAGAGGGGACGCGTTGCGCCGACTGCTCCGAAATTGCTATTATAATTTATAATAAATTAAGAAATTTTTTTTTCCCATCTGGTGAAGTTAACTAAAGAATTCTAGGATTGAAGACGGCCTGTCGCCAATTACCAATTGTTTATAACAAATTGTGAATCAACCCGGCAAATTGGAGCATATACTTTTTAAAACATTAATAATGACACTTTTAGCTATTGATTGGTGTAATTTCGTACCCTTTGGTTAATTTCGATATAAACATTTTCAGATCTAGTTTGACTGGACTAATTGGGGGTGGGCGCAATCGCTCAAGCGGTTCTTGAGTTATTTAACCTTTTATGGAGATATATTTCCTTAAATATCTCATGAACTACTTGACGGATTTCAATTTTTTTTTCAAAATACGTATCTCGGTGGCTACCATCTAGATCAATCAAAATATGTATACCCGTTCATCGAAAAAATCCAAGATTGAATATCTTCCTGTAGACATCCTGTAGCATGTGGTTACGGTTGTATACCTGTCACAAGGACAGGGAATTGCTACGGATCCATTCGAAAGCTTACTACCGATGGAATTAGTAGAAATAAAAAAAAGAGAAGGACTAATAACGCAAAAAGTAACGGTCACATGCCTTCTGTCGGATGGGCTCGAACCCCTGCTTAGTTTCGGGGGGATTTATAAAAAATTTCCGAAAAATCGGCATACACATTCCGACATACATACATACATTTTCTAAAAACATCATCTTTTCACGTTTGATGACATTCTACATCATCACCAGGCTTCCATTCGGAAGCTGAAATGGCATATATAGTCCATACGCTGTGACAGGTCCCGTATACATTTTTAAGTCCATTGAAATTTATCATTGGATTTTATTTTTGTGGGGTCCCTGAACACGAATATATAAACCGTTTTTGCAAGGTGTGGTTAATTTTGTTTATTTATAACAATTTAATTGTTTGTAACGCGATTGCGCGAGAACGGTCTGAGTTAGGCAAAAAAGTTTCGAACAAAAAATGTTCTTCGTCTAAAAATACATATATTTTGTTTTATTATCCTTACTACTATCTCTCATAGTTATCGAGTTATTACCTCTGAAAACAGGTGGCGGAGAGCGGAATCGCGCGCGCGTGACCCTTCGCGCACTCCACTCAGAGTACAATAGAAACGGTTAAGAATAGACGAAAATAGTTGAAATAAAATATGTTCCTTATTAAAAAACACATTATTGTAGTATAACATTTTTTCCTATCGTCAACGGTTAACGAAATAATTTAATGGAAGTGAGATCTAACTGAAAAAAAAGATGAAAGTGAGGAAAAATAGCCCCAATTTCCATCAAACGTGATATGAAATCCAAGTCATTTTGGTCAATTTTTCAAATTGTCAAATTTTCACGTGATGCATCTTCTAGACCATTTTCTGCTGAATGATTTTAATTATGAACTTTTTTCTCTTCTCTGATTATTTACGGCAATATTTGAACGAAAAAACGGCGAGTACTGCCTAAAACGTCGCTAACAACATCACTCAATGTCCGATATATAACACTTTTAGGTCCATTAAATTTCATCATTGGACTTCATGTTTTTGGGGTCCCTGAATACGAATATGTAAACCGTTTTTGCGAGGTGTCGTTAGTTTTGTTTATTTATAATAATTGAAATGTTTATGCCGCGATTTCGCGGAAATGGTTCGGGTTAGGCAAAAAAGTTTCAAGCAAAAAATATTCCACGTCTGAAAATACATATATTTTGTCTTATTATTTTTATTCCTATCTCTCAATAGTTATCGACTTATCACCGCTGAAAACAGGTCGCGGAGAGCGGAGGTGCGCGCGCGTGACTCTTCGCGCACTCCGCTCAGGTTACAATAGAAACGGTTGCGAATAAACGAAAATAGTTGAAAGAAAAAATGTTTCTTATTAAAAAATACATAATTGTTCTCTTATAACATTTTTCCCCAATTTCAGCGATTAACGAAATAATTTGATGGAAGTGAGGAAAAATAGCCCCAATTGCCATCCAACGTAATATGAAATTCAAGTTATCTTGGTCAATTTTTCAATTTGCAAAATTTTAAAGTGATGCATCTTCTAGACCGTATTCTGCAGAATAATTTTCATTATGAATTTTTTTCTCTTCTCCAATTATGTACGGCACTATTTGACCGAAAAGACAGCGAATACTGCTTAAAACGTCGCTGTCGTCATGTTCGGATAAATATTGATACCAGGGAAAAAAGTTCATGATGAAAATTATTTTTCAGAAAATTGACCAACATAACTTTTATTTTATATCACGTTTGATGGAAATTGGGGCTATTTTTCCTCACGTCCCTCAAATTATTCCGTTAACCGTAGAAGATAGGAAAAAATGTTATAATACAATAATTATATATTTTGTAATAAGGAACATTTTTTATTTCAACTACTTTCGTCTATTCTCAACCGTTTCTATTGTAACTTGAGTGGAGTGCGCGAAGGGTCACGTGCGCGCGCGATTCCGCTCTCCGCGACCTGTTTTCAGAGTTGATAACTCGATAACTGTGAGAGATAGGAGTAAGGATAATAATACAAAATATATGTATTTTTAGACGAAGAACATTTTTTGTTTGAAACATTTTTGCCTACCTTAGGCCGTTTCCGCGCAATCGCGTTATAAACAATTAAATTGTTATAAATAAACAAAACTAACGACACCTCGCAAAAACGGTTTACATATTCGTGTTCAGGGACCCCAAAAACATAAAATCCAATGATAAAATGAAATGGACCTAAAAATGTATACAGGACCTGTCACAGCGTATGGACTACAAATATTTTCAGATGTACCGACTGTAATGTTAGGTGGGTGAGGTGTTGCTCCGGCGGACATCCAAGCTAAGCAGCGTTGAGCTGGGTTAGTTCTTGGATGGGTGACCGCTTAGGAACACCTCGCTCGCACAAAAATTTTGGGCGGTAGGTACGGTGTAGCGGCCTAGTGTCTACATCTAGTCAGTGTGACAGATGGATATATTAGGGCACTGCACAAATCGGCCGGCTGTGCGACTGGGGTTTTACATGGTTTCCTGTGGAGTCCTAGCTCGAATGGGGTGCAGCTAAGACTGCTAAGAGTAAGATGGCCATGATACCGCAGATAACAATGAGAGGAAAAGAAAGGAGGGGAGGCAGGCTAGAGGAGGGGTTTCAAATCGAGAATTTCTTCGATAAACCCAATGAAATAGAAAAATAAATAAACAAAATAATATTTTCAGATGTTTTACGAGAATATCTAATGAACCGCTGAGACGATCATCTTAAACTAATCAGTTTTAAGTTACATTACCACGCATCGATTGAAAACCAAAAATTTCAAATCGCATCGTTACTCTTGAAGAAATAGTGGAGTATGTGGAAAAATAGTATATTATGTCATCAGGCGATAAAAGTATTATCTGGCGAATGTGATAGAAATTCGGCTCGGATTATAATCCCATTCGCCAGATAATACTTTTATCGCCGTGTGACATACGACACTTCATGTCATTGGGCCCGAAAACCGCGATCTAAGCGAGCAAAGCGAGGTTAGAATCGCGGTTTGTCGGGCCTAATGACATAAACATCATTTTTTGAAGTTTTGTTCCCATGTTTTATGCGAATTATTAAAGAACCGTTGAGGCGATCATCTCCATAAACTAATTAGTTCTAAGTTACATGAAGACACATTGATTGAAAAAAAATTAATCAAATCTCTTCATTTCTTCGGTAGATATCGTTGGACAAAATTTTGACCACACACACACACACACACACGTTTCCAAAAACGTGTCAGTATGATTCTAGGGGTCATGAAACTTCGACAAATCATGAAAATTCCACTTTTGATTTTCAGGGTAATCACAACTTCCTCCCTTACGGTCGCGAAGTTAAAAACGTCTTATCATGACGAGACCGAGCGAAATCCCGAATTGTTCTAATATACCTATGTAAATATATACAATGAAATACTATGATTTTCAGTAAAGGAAACAGAAGACCATAGACGTATCTACGTAAAATTACGGCTCTATCAGAGACATAGCCATCTGTAGAATTATAGTATTTATTTATCAACTGATACAAATTCTGTGTATGAAGACGTCAAATCACCCCAACTGAGCTATCCGGCTCGCAGCCACTTATTCATTTTAAATTAGTAAACTAATTAATTATTAAAAAATTCATCAATTACTTCTATGACAACATCTTCCTCCGAATCGTCCTGATCCCCCATGATTAGTTAATCAATTACCCATTCGTAATCCACTTTAAATATCCACAAAACAATAACAAACAATAAGCAAACAGCAAACAATTACAATCACCAACAGGTTATGCCCAGTTATGCCACTGATCTCTATTATATTATAACCAAAGAGGATTGACTAAAGTAGATGCTCAGTTCTGGCTTGGATGCAGTAGGACCAAAGAATACAGACGACCATAGAAGTCCGGATCGGGGGGTTAAGGCGTATTACCCTGAGTACCCCGAGCGCGAGATGGCGCCAGCGTCAACTTGACGGGGGTTGGGGCCAAGTTTGCCAAACTTCAAACGTCAGAATGTACGAAATGACGGAGTAACAAAATGCCCTACGCTCTAAATGTTCGATTTTCAAAATGGCTAGAATTCATCAATCCTCAATTGGGTGACTTGTCCGCAACTATTGATGTACTACGCAGTTTTTATCATACTTATTTGAGTAACAGATAAATCAATTGACCGAGACGGTGTATGATAGAAAAGATATTTTCCCCTGCGGAAATATTCCAAAATATGTGAATGTTCAATTATTCATTCACATGAATTTAAATATTCCATATACGATAGAATTACCGATGAACGACTGGTCCGATGGTTGAGAAAATTCGAAAATATATTTGATCTCCCCCTATCACCACCGTATACTTGGCGAACAAATTAAATATTGCCTAAAATGAATGGATTGAGTAATTAGGAAATAATTTGGGAAGTTTTAGGAAAGATTTTCATAATTTAGGAACAAATAGTTAATTAGTAATCATTAAAAAATGTTTAGACTGTAAAGTTGGCCAAAATGAAGGGGGATAACAAAATTTTAATTCTACTCGATGCAAAATAATTTGGGAATTGTAGGGAAATAGTTTTTTCTATTTGGGAAAGTATTATTACATCGATAATCAATGGGGAAAAAAACGCAACTATTGTTGTTCAGCAGTCACGTGACTGAGTCATCCCCCCTTCCATCTTTTGGGCTATGGTGGGGGAATAAGTAGTGGAGAACGGTTATAAGTTATGGCATTCTGTGATAACATTTTAAAATATCAATAAAACAGGAGGATTTTTCCTGCGCAACGTTCTGAGTTGAAGCAAGTGGGAGCAAGAAACAATATGCGCAGGAAGGTCATTAGGAAATCTATGGTAACTTTTACAATCAATAAGGGAAATGGTGGTCAGAATGTCTGTTTTAAGGACAAGGGCTGTTGAGCCCGCCAAGTCTATTATTAACTCTCCAACAACGCATAATACTCTTGAAAGAGTGAGGAGCCGGCTTCAAGTTTCATATCATCCCCATCAGGATCCTCATGGACACATTAGGGAGATCTAAATTGAGATCTGAATTGAGCAACTTGTCAGCGAGGGTGGCGACAGGGTTGGGTAAGTAAATTACCTTAGGTAAATTACATGGTTTTTGACCAGTCATAAAGTAGGTAAATTACCCGGGCGAGTTGTCGGCTTTTTGACCTGTCAAAAACCTATGTGGCGCCATCTATTAGCACCTTGGGGAACCGGGAGATTTTTACCGAGAATACCACCTGTCAGAGTTACAAGGGTCAAAATTCGAAAAAATCATACTCACTGAGGTTATGCCTCGCGAGGGTCAATCGTCGCAAAGGTCATACCTCGCAAGGGTCAAACGTGACAATCATAACTTGCGAGGGTCAAACGTCACAATCATAACTTGCGAGCGTCAAATGATCATAAGCTGTTGCAACAAAGACCAAACGGAATAGTTTCAGATTATTTTTTCTTAATTCATGATCGTTCCACCCTTGTCATTGTTCTGCCTACAGGAGAGATAAGTTGAAAAATCACAAGAGTAAAAATGAAGACCCAGGCAAGCAGGAAAATCACAAACGATCAAGAAACAATCACAAAGTAGGTAAATCATAAGGTTCAATCAGGATAACTAGGCCANATTGTTCTGCCTACAGGAGAGATAAGTTGAAAAATCACAAGAGTAAAAATGAAGACCCAGGCAAGCAGGAAAATCACAAACGATCAAGAAACAATCACAAAGTAGGTAAATCATAAGGTTCAATCAGGATAACTAGGCCATGACCTAGTGACCTGTTTGACCCTTGCGAACCTACTTGCTTTTTTTGTTTAAACTTTATGACCGTTGGAACCTTGTAATTGTACCGCCTGGCGTCCCCCGTTGACCCTCTTATTAGTTTCACCCTCCAGATTAAAGGATTGCTTCCGTTGTTTGACCCTTGCGACGTTTGACCCTAAGAAGGCATAACCCTTGTGATGTTTAACCTTCGCGAGGATAACCCTCGTGATCGTTTGATCTTGACGATTTCCGGCCGATGTGCCTCTCACTTTTGACCCTTGTGACTTTATAGCTCAGGTTCCTTGTAAAGAGCTTTCTGACACTTTTTGACATTTTTGACGCCCCAGAGGTAAATTACCGGTATTTGACAATGTCACGTCATAAACTTACATCTGCGAGATATGCCCAACCCTGTCTATCTCAGAGATTGTGGGTACGTTTCGGAAACAACTACTGTAGCTGCAGTAAAGCGAAATTAGATAGTGTTACAGTACTGCTACTGCTACTAAGTCGATTGCGAAACGCGCCCTATAAGAGAGATCTCTCACGGCAATGTAAACGTTTCGACTGAATTTTTTCATAGTGGTGGCGCATGAACTAAATCCGAGTACACTTTTGTTGGTAAAACAGGCAGGTATACTAATGTCGGTATTCCCCCCTGAGTGAGAACGGAATATGTATCGCGTTTGCTCCCACTCATTGTCGTCTCCGTCGCGTTAGCACGTGCCCGTCCTCCGCAAAACTTAACGAGTGCGAGTGAGAAAGAAAATCGAGAAGAAGGAGAGAGAAAACATTCCAACTCGTTTGAACGGTTGGAACGTTTTCGTTGTTCTCCAGCGATCTACACATAATGGGATTAAATCAATAATAATAGATTAACGAATGAGATTTTTCGCAGATTATTGCGAGATTTAAATGAATGGTTTGCCTTCTTCAGTGACCATAAAATATTGTCTCCAATCAACAATATCTCCCGATGGAATGGAACGATGTGAATGAATCAATTGATACTCAAGTATCAATTTGAATTTTTAAAAAATTAATCGAGAGTGAAAAAAAATCAGGGAATTTCACTCTGCCATTATGGAGTTATTGACGAGTGAAGTTTATTCACTGTACTCTGACATTTCTCTATTGTCTGTATTTACCGAGAAAAAAAAACGTTGTTCCTAGGAATCGATGTGTCTTTTTTAGGCAGCTGCATTTCTGAAATGCAATGAGCAAGCAATGTTAAAATTAAGTCATTTTGTAAAAAATTTCTAGTGACATGATCCTGAAAATCAAAGAAATGTCTTGAAATCAGGAATGATGTCTGTAGGTTTCAGTAATATTGTCGCGGAAATTCCGGGAACACTTATTGGGAATTTATATAGCGTTGCCGTAATACGGAAATTTCATGGAATTTCGTCATTGCAAATTAAAAATTCCTATAAATTTCAGACCAATTATATGTGTACGTCCACGTGAAAAGGGCCCACTTTGTCGCATCTAATTTCCGAGATATTCACGTTTTT